CAGGTGATATTAATCGCACCGATAATCAACATGATCAGGTCATTAATCTTCCGGCGACGGCTACTTCGAGATGGAATCCGACGCCGGAGCAGATCATGACGTTGGAAGAGCTTTATAGAAGCGGAACACGGACGCCGACGACGGAACAGATCAAGGAGATAGCATTTAAGCTACGTAAGTTTGGGAGAATCGAAGGCAAGAACGTTTTCTATTGGTTTCAAAACCACAAGGCTAGAGACAGACTAAAGCGACGTCGTCGTGAAGGAGATGCCAATAACAGCGGTCATCAACCACATACTGACGTCAAGGATACATCAGGTAGTTGGTTACATAAGGAGATATTTTAATTTTCTTAAGTCGTATTTTAGTTTAAATTACCTGCCTTTCTTCTCAATCTCTACCAATAAACAATATAATTCTAAGATATACAATTTTGTTTAGGGATACTATAAGGTTTCTTGTTTGTATTGTAAAACCTAATTTAATGCAAGTGTTTTGTTTTTCACAGGTGGTCATCGAGTTGATCAGACAAAGAGCTGCCCATCTTTCCCACACTCAAAGTCAAAGCCTGAGCCACAGGTAATTTTTTTTTTTTGGTTTATGTGTATATATGTAAACAAATATACAACACAAAACATTGTTGACAAAAATATTTTTGTGTGGGAAGTTGAGGTTGACAAAACATTATAGAAGCTTTTTTAATGATATTTTGGGTACAATAAAAGAAAAAAAAGACGTTCACAAGAGGCTGTGCTAGTTTCTTTATTCATTTTCTCACTGACCTCTTTTAATATATTTGTTGTTTCCCTAAAAGAATGATTTATATATTCTTTTTTGTATTTTCAGCATGAATTAGTTCCGGCGAGTTACGAAAAAAACAACGATACTATTAATGAAGATCATGGGACGACCGAAGAATCTGAGAGAGCATCGGAGGATGGTAAGGACGCCACGTGGAGAAATCTTGTTACTTGTTCGGTTACTCAAGAGCAAGGAAATATTGACATTATCCACGAAAATGAATATAATGTGCTCAACGAAGATGGAGAAGAGGAAACGAGGGAGCTGCGAACTCTAAACCTCTTCCCGGTTATGGAAACCCAAGAGAAAACCGTCCGGTTTACGGATAAGAAGATGAATACAAAAGCAAACCAGGTGTGTTGCAACTATTGTTACTACTACGAGTTCATGCCTCTGAAGAACTGAAATTAAGCCAAACCCCATGTGTAAGTAATAAATAAGACAAATGGACTTGGTGAAGTTTCTATTTGTTGCATTGTCGAAAAATGGGCAAGTGATGTGTAGACTAGTTACTAGTTAGAGAGAGTAGAGGTTAGAGATTGAGACATGTAGTAAATGATAAGGTTTTAAGGATTTATTTATGCATTTTAGAGTTTTGAAGATTATTATTATTACCCAAATATGAAGTTGGACCATGTAAGAGCCTTGGAGGTTGGGTTTGGAGTTTGAAACCATATGCAGTATATCTGAAAGTGAAAGCTTTCGATGGTTCGTTTTCTATGTAAGGAATATATATACAATTAACTAATTTACTACGTACTATTAATTGGATTTGTGTTGTTTAGTTTTTTAATTGATGTTTCCACTTCTTCCTTCACATGCTTTCTCTACTTCTTCTGCAACTTAAATGTGAACGAGAGAGACAGAGAGTGACATTCGAAGTTGACATTGCATTGTGTTTAGAATCACTTTAGATTTTTCAGTGAATTTAGCATATGTGCGGTTTTATTATCAAAATGATGCTTAAACCTGACATTTGATTTTTTTTTTTTATGGAATGAAGACAACATATCTTTAAGATTTGCCCATTTCTCATTTGTTAATAGAAACAGAGGATTAGTCAACTTACTCGAGCACCCATTCGATCCATACAAGTTTAGTTTACAACATGAATCAGAAGGTGTTGATTATGTCTATAGTTTCTGAGGGGTTTTTCGCAAAATCCTGAGATTATGTAATCTGTCTGTACCAGAAAGACAAGATTGACCCATCTTTTGTCCTTACAAGAACATGAATGTATAATGTAATGGTATGTAAAAAGACTGCCTTTTGAGACAGAGGTTGATGAACACTTCCTAGAGACAACTACACAAAGCATTTATCACTTAAGACCATAACTCATTAATTGACTCTATTGTTTCTGCACCTCAAAGATCTGGCCCACGTTTTTATTTTCCATGGTACAATTACAATAGGACAGAGAGACTGTTTTGTCCCATTCCTCCAATCACATTAACATTTCAAACACCTTTGACAACTTTTTCTAAAGTTGCATCCAATGGTCACTAATTTCTTCTTCTGACGTTCTACAACGTATAGTTTCTGTGAATTCAAAACTACAATTACAGAAGAAACATCAAGCAATCACTGTCACACTTTATTGGCCACTGAGTTTGGTTATCTAAACTCTAAAGACAGAACTAAAGAGACCAAGCAGAAACAAATTGTATTTCAACTAGCAAATGACACAAGGAGATCTTTTTAGCCATGTTCATACTAGTGTTCAAAGTTATCACAAAGGGTCGTGGGAAGACCATCGTAAAAGAAATTTGATAAACAACAACTCACAGTGTTTCCCAGCGATTAGCTTGAATCAAGGAACGTAGAGAGGCTCAGGCATTTTTTCTCTTTGTATCCTACCATATAAAAGGGAATTGTAAGACTCACTGAAGAAAGTTGTAAAAGACCTTACATCAATTTGATTATGAGAATGGATGGAATAAAAGTTTAAAATAAGGACTTACCAGTTGTCTTCTGTCCATTTACATCCATCAGATTCTACTACATGTAAGCTATAGGCATGTCTTGACTTCGAGGAAAGATTCTCGAAACTGCATCAGAAAATCCACATTTGAAAATAGAAGAGAACATGATTCAGAGCTCAGCCAAATGTAAACTAATTTAGCAAGTAATGCTTCCTATGGAGGATGAAATTTACCTTTGATGGATTAGATCACCATGAATGGCAATCATTGAGCCTGCTTTCATTTCAATAGACACAAAATCTTTCTGCTCGTAAGATGGAGATGGCCTATCAAAGGTTACACCACTTTCACCTCGGATAAACCTTCTAACCAGGCCATCTGAAACGAGGCAGAGGAAAAAAAAAATGACTGTTTAGCTAAGCGAAACTACGAAGATCACAAAGAACACCAAAAATAGAGGTTAAAAAACCCACTCTTGTGAGATCCAGGAATTGCCCAAAGGCAACCATTAACTGTTGTAGAATCTTCTAAAGCCATCCAGAGACCAGTACAACTCGGTGGATCCGTGTACACAAAAGAATTATCTTGGTGAGGCACAACTTCCCCTCCAATTCCAGGTTGCTAGTAAAATCAATTGCCCGAATGCACACAGTTGAAAAAGCTCAAATTATATTTATCATTCCAAAGAGGTAAGAAAACTATCGAGAGATCGGAATGTTATTGGTTTGGAAAGTCAAGACGCAACTACAAATACTGATTCTGAAGTGTAACATATAATATAGTGATGATTCTGCATTCTCAACTGTTGAACATTTGCATATTTTATGAGAATCTCAGTTCCTATTCCTTAACTGAAATCAACATATAGTGTGAACACATTGAATCTTGCAACCACGTATTTCCATTGATCTTAGTCGTAAACACACACAAACAAGAAACAACCAAAAGTTGGGAAGTAAATAAAAGTACCTTGAAAATGTACATAGACTGCATGATGACTGGTCTCCTGTAACCTAAGGATGATACTAAACTTGAAACCTTGGACGAATATGTGAACTCCTTATACAATGGGTCAAGCTCATGCAGTGCTGCACCAACAAAACATTATTAACATTTGCGATATGCTTTTCTGTACCCAACACTAAAACTTTTTAGTAAAAAGAAGATAAAAAAGCTAATAACAAGTAACACATAAACACGTTTAAAAATTTACCATGCCCAACTTTGTTTATAGAAAGCTCTTTCGGTTGCTTCAATTCCCCATCATCGCCAAAAGCTTTTTCTGAGATTCAAAACACAAGAAATCTTCAGATTTTGAAACCAGCCAATAGCAAGATCATAGCACAAGCAGAAGACAATATCAACTAAATGATCAATAGAGAGTATTAAATTTACACACGCACAAAAAGTAGAATCCTAAGTAAGTTAAATATAGCATAACGAAGTCACTACAAAGGAATGATTACAGTTTCCTACACATCTGCATCAAAAGAACTGCCATAACTTTCATGAAAATTCTTATTCATATTAGATTGTATTAAAACAAGAGACTTTAATTGTATTGGTACACTCTAAGATTCTGTAAAATTGCTATCAAAACAACCATATCTCAAGTTGATTCGATGAATCACTAAAATGTACATATAGTATTCACAAACAGAGCACTTGCACACATACATCAACATAAAATTGGCAAGAGATTCTTCAAATGAATAAGGAAATTGAGTAATTTTTAGTTACCTTCAAAGAAGAAGGAGATTTTTTCAGCGCTCTCAAAGAAGTAATTATCGGTGGTGCGCTTCTACGGAAATATCAAATTACCAATCAGATTAAGT